GAAAAGATTACACACTGTTTGGTGTTTACGCTCAAGAGAAAAAAAAACGCCGCGCGCACTATGCGCAGAGTTTTTTTCACGGGTACCGCGCGCATTAAAGTGTTGATATTAATCACTTATGATTATTAATTATTTGTAATTAATAAATAAATAATTAGTATTATTATTATAAAAATAAATTAAGTCCCACTCTGTGAGCGTTTTCTTCCAACCGCAGAAATAGACACTGCTTTTCCCAAAAGTGGTGATATGCCGGCTGCTCTGGAACGCCGATGGCTAACACTGAAAACTTCACTCAACCTGTAGCCCCGTGTGGGCCGCCCTTGCAGGCGACAGGGGGTGGCGATGAAGGCTATGTCGAAGGCGCATAGTCGACAGAGGTACTGGCGTCGTAGTCCACATGTAACGAATAGCGGCGGAGCGTTTAGTAGTGTATCTGGCGAGGCGGAGGCGAGCCCTGTGAGTTTTGTGAGTATCTTCCTGTCAGTTTTCATACGTCCAAGCTGCCTGAACCTCTTTGCACACTCTGGACACTCTTGAGGTTTAACACCTGGATGCAGTAACATATGGACGTCATACTTCGAAGATGTATGACGTCAAGTCAGAGTGGGATAATGTTGTTAGTGGAGTACCTCAGGGCTCTGTCCTGGGACCTCTGTTGTTTATAATATATATAAATGATTTAGATTCAGGTTTGAGTAGCAACATTTGCAAATTTGCCGATGATACGAAAATCGGTAGGGAAATTAATTCGGAGGACTACTCACTATCACTTCAAGTTGATCTAGATAGGGTTTTGAAATGGTCAAAAGATTGGCAGATGCAGTTTAATGCTGATAAATGTAAAGTTGTGAGACTAGGTAACGATGATAGAGTTACAAGATACGAGCTAGATGGTGTTGAGATTGCGAAGTCGGATTGCGAAAGGGATCTGGGAGTTATGATTAGTAAGAATTTAAAACAAAAGGATCAATGCATGAATGTTCGTAATAAGGTGAATAGGACACTGGGATTTATTAATCGAAGTGTTAGTAACAAGACACCTGGTGTGGTTCTTCAGCTATATCTTGCTCTGGTTAGGCCCCATTTAGATTATGCAGTTCAGTTTTGGTCGCCATATTATAGAATGGATATAAATTCACTTGAACGTGTCCAACGTAGGATGACTAAGTTAATTCCCCAAATTAGAAATCTTTCATATGAAGAAAGATTAACAAAGCTTAAGTTGCATTCACCTAAAAGGCGAAGAGTTAGGGGTGACATGATAGAGGTTTACAAGTGGATGAATGGACATAACAGGGGGGATATTTATAGGGTATTAAAAATATCAACACAAGACAGAACACGAAACAATGGGTATAAGTTGGATAAGTTTAGATTTAGGAAAGACTTGGGTAAATACTGGTTCAGTAACAGGGTTGTTGATTTGTGGAACCAATTGCCGCGTAACGTGGTGGAGGTGGGGTCCCTAGATTGTTTCAAGCGCGGGTTGGACAAGTATATGAGTGGGATTGGGTGGTTATAAATAGGAGCTGCCTCGTATGGGCCAATAGGCCTTCTGCAGTTGCCTTTGTTCTTATGTTCTTATGTTTCTGGTGTGGTGCTCATGGGATCTGTTACAACCTTCTAGGAAGCGTTGAAGGTCAGGATTGACATTACAATTCAGAGTTATTGATGTTACTTCTACGCCGTTTTGCAAGCTGTCTCGTGCGTTGTTTTACCTCCGGCCTGCTCATGTGCCGCTTGAGCAGTCTGGGTCGTTGGACCGGGTGCTCTCCTTTCTCTCTCCTTCTCGGTTTGTGGTGGCCCCTTCGGTTCAGTATTGTTTGGCGAAGGCTCTTGTTGACATTGACCTCTGGGGAGTCGGGTCGGGGAGTTTCATGCCCTGTTCAAGTGCAGGGGTTTCTTCTCTTTAGGTCTTGGTTGAAGGTTTGTTTGTTTGCAATCGTTTCCTTCTTTTCTGGCAAAGAATGAGACTGCTGCTTTCCAGAGGGGTCCTTAGGTTGTTGATGCTTGGTTAGTCCGGTTGTAGCTTTCCGCAGTTACCTGGGCGCCATGGCCATGGTGGCCAGGGACACCCTTTGGGCTGACCTGGTTTCCCTTCTTCCCTGTTCCAGGGTTTGGGTCTCCCAGGTCATCCGCAGGGTTATTCGGTCCAGCCAGCCTGCGGTCTATCCTCGTGCCCACTATGTTCGTAAGTTTGCTGCACTGGCTGCTGTCTCCAGTAACATGTCTTGGGCTGACATTCGGGCACGAGGTTTTTGGAAGGCAAACAGGGTCCTGGCTGCTTGCTACCGTGTCAACGTTCCTGTACCTAGTCAGGCCTGTGTCGCACTATGTTGGCAGTTGCAGCCAGTTGTCTTGACTTCACGTTGAGGAGTGAGAGCCGACCACCTCTTGGGTAAGCACCTCTTGTTTTGTCTTTGGGTAAGTAGCTCTGGGGAGCCAAAGGGGCTTCCTCCAGAAAACCAGCGTTCTTCCAAGGTGGAAGGAAAGTGCAAACCTACCTTTTTTCAAGTCATCATTTTTTTCGTGCATTTTGACATCCAGCCTCTAAACTGCAGGGTGGATAGCCAGCACAGAGGTCTGGGGCTCCCCCTTCATGCACAGACAGCGGTGCGGTGATGTGGTGATGTCATGCTCGTTTGCTTGTTTTCATTTGCGGAGTTCTGTTTACTAGTTAAGCTTTCAGTAGCAATATTTAAACCAGAATAGGGGTTTATTCTGCGGTGCTAACCTTTCTGGGTGCCTTACTTGGTCGATGGCAGACATAGAATGCTTCCAACCACACGGGGGTTTCTATAGGCCATTGCTACTTGTGCCTCTCTGAGGGGGGCCAGGTTCTCACTAAGGAGGACTCACTATCACTTCAAGTTGATCTAGATAGGGTTTTGAAATGGTCAAAGGATTGGCAGATGCAGTTTAATGCTGATAAATGTAAAGTTCTGAGGTTAGGTAATGATGATAGAGTTACAAGATACGAGCTAGATGGTGTTGTGATTGCGAAGTCGGATTGCGAAAGGGATCTGGGAGTTATGATTAGTAAGAATTTAAAACAAAAGGATCAATGCATAAATGTTCGTAATAAGGCAAATCGGACACTTGGATTTATTAATCGCAGCGTTAGTAACAAGACACCTGGTGTGGTTCTCAAGCTATATCTTGCTCTAGTTAGGCCCCATTTAGATTATGCAGTTCAGTTTTGGTCGCCATATTATAGAATGGATATAAATTCACTTGAACGTGTCCAGCGTAGGATGACTAAGTTAATTCCCCAAATTAGAAATCTTTCATATGAAGAAAGATTAACAAAGCTTAAGTTGCATTCACTGGAAAGGCGAAGAGTTAGGGGTGACATGATAGAAGTTTACAAGTGGATGATTGGACATAACCGGGGGGATATTAATAGGGTATTAAAAGTATCAACACAGGACAGAACACGAAACAATGGATATAAATTGGATAAGTTTAGATTTAGGAAAGACTTGGGTAAATACTGGTTCAGTAACAGGGTTGTTGATTTGTGGAACCAATTGCCGCGTAACATTGTGGAGGTGGGGTCCCTCGATTGTTTCAAGCACGGGTTGGACAAGTATATGAGTGGGATTGGGTGGTTATAGAATAGGAGCTGCCTCGTATGGGCCAATAGGCCTTCTGCAGTTACCTTTGTTCTTATGTTCTTATGTTCTTATGTTCTGGCTCATGATCCCCCGAAAGGCCTAGAACTCCATGCACACTAACTGATGCCGGGATCTAATACATTCATATCAGCCCAGATAGCTCTGGGGAGCCTCCGGGTCTCACCCAGAAAATGGCGTTTCATTACATTCAACGCTAGTGTTTTTGCAAAGTTTTCTTCACACTCCTGCTCCATTGGTATCTTGACAGATGGGTCTAAGTCTGTTGACGGTGTAGGCTACTCGTTATATTTCCTGATCACATCGATATGTCGCCTGCCCTCAAATACTACCAGCATCTTCGTGGCAGAACTTTATGTAGTTTTACATGCTCTTTGTCAATGGCTTTCTCACTATCAATCTTTTTTTGTTGTAGTTGACTCTTGCAGTGCCCTCATGGTTCTGGAGTCATTTTATCCAGTCAATCCTGTGGTGGTTGAAATTCAACATTGGTTGTTTCTTATCTCCAGCAGATATAGCACAGTCTAGTTTTGCTGGGTTCCCAGCCATATTGGCATTTCCTTAAATGAGCATGCGGACGCTACCGTTAAGGGGGCTATCCACACTTGTCCTATTTCTCGCAAAGGCGGTCCATATTCCAGTGTCCCCTTGGCCTTCCTCCTTCCACCGTAAGCAGTGATGGGAATCAGCTCTGGCAAGGTTATACATTGGCCATACACTTTTAACTCACAGGGACTTAAATGGAGCGCCGCTCTGCTCCTTATTGTCTGACCTGCATTGTCCCTCTTACGCATGTGCATATCCTTGTTGAATGTCCCGACTTGCAGGACGTACGTGTCTTGTTTCCTGAAAGTTCCTCGCGGTAATTTGCCCCTCAATAGAATCATTGATGAATCAAATGCCTTTGATATCGTTCGCCTTATGAGCTTTTGTTTTCGTAATGGCATCCTTAGTGATATTTAGTGCCTTTTGAATATTCTGCACCTTAGATGGTGATACATAGCTTTCCCAGCTTGGCGCCTTCTTTTGATAATTACTTGAGAGGAGGAAGAGTGTAAAATCCCCAAATGTTGAAAAGAATGAGGCTGGATCTGTGGTCAGAGAATACCATGTACCAGACAGTGAAGGGAATTGAGCATGAACTGGTGCTAGATAGCATATGTCATCCCAAGTGACCCACTCTGATAACATTGGAGACCACTAACTCATGTGCTCACTCACATTGGTGCCTGCATATAGTCTTGAATATTTCCACATTAATAGAATGTTGTACAATTCACATGCAACCACTTGCTGGTAGTATATATATAATGTGTCAATACAAAATTGTATGTGAAGCTTTGGACTATAAAAAGTGAAAAATAAAATCAGGATAAATTTAGTTTTCAAACTTTATAAAGCACTCTTTATAGAAATATTCATCTGTATACATATTTGAATTAAATTAAAATTGTATTAAATAGAAATATTTAATCTACATTACACTTATATACAGGTCGTACAACAAGCTTATCGAGTAAATACACAACTATACAAAATGTATCCCTTACCCCCCCCTCTTCCACAAAGAACATTTAGTAGAAAAATAGGGCTTGTTACTGTAGACTTTGTTGGTCATCCATTAAGTCTTCAACTAAGATGAAAACCCTGCCTATATATCACTACTTTTGGAAGTCAGTAGAATTGTGTGCATTAGAGCAAGGTAATCTGTTATAGTTTCATTACTTCTCTAATGAAAAATTATGCGCAGTAATTTTCTAAAATTTCATCAGCGTATAAACTTGTATACTGTACTGAAATACTATTTTGATGTACAATAGTTATTTTCAGATTACAAAATTCAAATTAAATAAAAACACACTGATGGATAAAAATATATACTTATACAATTTAAACTTTATGGAAATCATAATTTACTACCATTAAATGTGTAGTTTTTTTTTTTTTTTTTTTTTTTGCAGGGATATTCCTGGCCGGGCCCTAGCCTATGGCTGGCCCAATATGTTTCGTAGTTATTAATGTAAACAAAGAATATAAAGTTAGAATGAATACTCTGGATCTGAAACTGAACAAATTTATCTAAATAAAAATAATACTAGATAGATGCTTGTAATAATTATTACAAGCCAATAATAAAAATTTGCACAGAAAAGTACAAATTTACTGGAAATCCAACTGACCAACCCGTATTTCAAGAGAGAACAATGAAGGTGGGAGTGAATAACACTGCCCACTAGCATGCATCAATTAGGCTTTATTGTTTCTTTTGACAACTGCATGCAACATGCTAGGGAAGCTGGATTCTAATGATTGGTATTGAAAGTGATCTTGTGATAATTTATACATGTGGAATTATGATATAAATTGAACCTAATACATCAGTTTATAAAAAATTTCTGTATGGGTATTGCATTGGGGTTTTGCTGTGGCATGTAGTACAGTGCTGGTGGAATTTATAACTAGTTAGTTCAAGTGGACAAATAACCTTGTTTTTAAAGATTAAATAGTCTGGCCAATTTGATATTATTGTTGTTGTCTCAACATTTTACTAGAGTCTTCCAGCTGTAGTGATAAATCATGAATTTTCTCCAGAGGAGGAGTGAATAAATTGTCCCTTATGAACTTAACCTGAGCATATTTTATAACCGCTGAGTAAACCCAAACACTGTACTGTACATCTTGCATTATGACCACAATATGAGTTCTGACTACAATAGCCTGGTCATTTCTAAAACAGCACTTTATGGTCTGAACTCAATTGACTCGAACCACAATTTTGACACCAGCAACGAGCATTAACCTTTTCTACAACATTGATTAAGCATTTATGCTATATTATGATAATGCAAATAATGTTTAAGCTCATTTTAAAAGTGTGTGTTTGGTGGGGTACATCTTCATTCTGTAATGTTGGTGCGAGATACCAAAGACATTTACAGTCCCATATAGATGTTTTAATTTCACTAAAGAGTTTCTTCTTTCTTAGGTTTTCCTTGTTACCGCTAATTCTCAGCAGTCTAGGCAAGCTCTGGTATATCATTTAATGTGACCATGACAAAAATTGCATGAAACCTAACTTGACTACATTTTGCAATGCTATTTAAGTGTGACTGTAAATATCACAATACTGTACAGTAGAACAATAATTTCCATAATTTTATACATGGGAATATTTCCTTACTTAGATTGCTGTATACAAATGTACTGACTTCCAGATAGGTGATACAAGAATGTCCTAACAAATTTGGATAGACTTTAAAAACAATAATTACCATTAATTTTAAAATAGCTTTACTAATAACATATTTGTACCTACTTAAAGCTTCCCTTCCCTCAACATAACATACAGCACTTAACATTTTAATTAAAAGTTCAACTGTTCACCAACAGGTTTTCAAAATACAGTACTGTACCAGTTACAGCAGCTGGGACACAGTAGTTCCAGTCCCAGCTGCACAACCCACAGTTGTACCAGTCACAGCTGCACTGGCCACAGTTGTACCAGTCACAGCTGCACTGGCCACAGTTGTACCAGTCACAGCTGCACTGGCCACAGTTGTACCAGTCACAGCTGTACTGGCCACAGTTGTACCAGTCACAGCTGTACTGGCCACAGTTGTACCAGTCACAGCTGTACTGGCCACAGTTGTACCAGTCACAGCTGTACTGGCCACAGCTGTACCAGTCACAACACTAAAATGCACTAAGCATTTCTATATAAAGCACAAAATTCTGGAGTATCCCATTTCTAATAGTAATAGTTGACATACGTTTAGCATCAGTAGTAAGTATAACTTACTCATTATAAATCTTAATTGATACTTCAATAAAGAAGCAAGTATAGAAACATACGTAACGCATCATAATGGTCATCGTGGTATTTAATTCATTAGATAATGTTACAAATATTATTGCATAGCAATAAGGTAACTGGATATTATTAGTAATTCCATTGATTTACCAGCACCAGTTCTCCTCAGTCATTTAAATACAATAAAAACTTGTGCTTGAGTAATCAAAGAAAACAGTGCTTCACCAAAATATAGCCATTCATCATTGTCCTGTGCATGCAACAATGGGCACAAAGGCCAGTATAACCAAGAGCCATTTTTTTAAATACCTTGATACAAAGTCATATTCTAATTACTCACGCCTGACAAAATCACGCATAAAGAGCAGTTTAATATTAAAATATGATTCTGTATACTATATCCAAAGGTTTTTGCTAGTACAGTATCCCTATATTAATGTTAAATATGAATCACAGATTATCAAATATATTCTGCTTTGGTTATTTAAGACTGTAAATATATTTGATTTTAATAGTTGATGAATATAAATTGTTCTAATGAGACGAGGAATATGTACAGTACATCAATTTCAACCATTTACAAATTTTTATATTTAAAAATGCCTCAATACACACAGACAGTGTTATAATAGCCATCCTGGCTTAGCACTTACTTTGATAATTATTTAACCAATAATCTAGAATTCCTGTACTGTACTTTCAAATGGAAGCCAAAACCTAGCAGGAGTTTGATAAAGATCCAGTAAGTTAGAAAAACATTTAGGTGTTCTATTATTATATTCCAACTATGACAGTGACGCTCAGAGTACTTTATGTATAGCCCCAATGCTTTACTCTAGAGAGTTTAGCACAGCTTGTGAATGGCTACAACACAACTTTCTTAACCCTTAAAATCCACTTGCACTCTGTTTAATATCAACCATTGGGGTGCATAAGTGAGAATATGTGAGTAGACCAAAACATCATAAGATGCTTTTGGTTCTTCACAACATCTTGAAACTCCCTCTGGTACCGTGTTCCCAGCTGGCATTTGGGGCCTCCAGTAAACATCTGCCATCTTGTAAAGTGACTTACTGTACTGTGTTTTGGACATTTTCTGCGTTCAGTGCATGGGTATGGGTTATAATAAATTATGAGAACATTTTTGTACACACAGATAATGCTGGATTTATCCTATGCACATACCAAGGGTTAAACTAATAACATCTAAAATTTTTGCTTTTATATAATTTTTGTTAATGTTCTAAGTATTATGAGGCTCAAAAAATATTTATAATTACAGTATTAGGTCTATTTTATAATGACAAATATAGTTGATGATTTTGTATATTTTGTTTTACTATAAAAATGTCAAGTACAGTACTCAAGGATAGTTGTTAAAATCTCTCTTATGTAACACATACTGTTGATCTAAGTATGAAAATTGTCAGTTTCTTATGTATACTTAAAAGTGTTTTTAATTCATAGATATATTTAACCCTTTGGCTGCACTAAATGATAAGTCGACACAAGGAAAATATGCTAACAACACGATAAGTGACCTCTATTTAAGTCCCCAGAATAACATCTTCAAATAATGTATAGCAGCAGAATTGGAATGTTGCTCCTCATGTAAGCAAACTATATTTGCCTATTTACAAGTTAAGAAAGCTTTTCTTATGTAAATATTTACTTCTTGGTCTGGACTCGTCCAATATTTTCTGCTTTTAATTATTAATGATGATTAATGGTATGTATGGAAGGAGCATTCTATTTTTCTAATTATAAATGTTAAAAATAAAAATCAATGAGGAAACACAAAGATAGTAAAAATTACTGTTATTGTTATTTGTGAATAAAATATAGTAAATTCCTTGGTAAAAAGATGTTTAAATTATGACATTCTATTCATTTGGAACACATCCTAATGTTTAGTTTTGTTATTAATAATTTACCATATTTTGTACAAAAATATATTTAATGATTTTTCATTGTATATATGGAAAGAAGATATTATTATCAAATTTAATAAGACTGATAAAACCCAAAACAAGAATACTCTACCCATTAAGAATCCAACAAATTATCTGACCATTACGAACTGTCGGTTATATTTACAATATTATGTCTTGGAAAGAGGTGCCTTTTCTTAGCTATATTTTTTTTTTTTTTAATTCTGGAAAGATAGTCAAGAGATAGTTTGTCACAGCCAAAGGGTTAAGTACACGATTCAATACAATTTCAATAGGGTGAAGTTTTGCAACTTTAAATATTCAGTTAAAATAAAGATATAGTATTAACTAATCTATTAGTGGAACCTCGGTATTCGATCTTAATTGGTTCCTGAAGGCGAGAAAGATGCCAAAATGTTCAAATACAGTACTGAAGAAAAAAATTCCCATAAGGCATAATATAAATTGGATTAATCCATTCCAGACCACAAAACTAAATATATTAATGCAATAATTCAATGAAATAAATGCTAACACAGTATGTAATTTACCTGCACTTAGAGTTGATGGTATATATGGAAGGTGGTGAGGCAGAGGAAGAGATTATTATTTGGCAGGAGAGTCTTCCCCTACCATTATAACTTCAGGTAGTTGTACTTCTGGGGTGCTCTTTCTTTTCTGTTTCCCTCAGACTCACTAGATGCTTTTTTTACAAAGAAATTTGTCCAAGGATGATTGCTTTTGCCTGTGCTTTACAATGTTTTTTTAAAATGAGACATAGCATTGTCATTAAACAGGTTTATAACACGGTCACATCTTTGTCAGGGGTGACATTTTTCAAGAAAACTTTTCACTTCTGCCTTCTCCCCCCCTCCCGTTTTTTTGCACTCATTTCTTTTATTAGAGAACTAGATTTAGGCATACCAAACTGGGTAACAAGCGCAGACACACGGGCACCACTTTCATATTTTGCTTTGAGGTCTTTCTTCATCTATCATGGTTCTAACCATTTCTCTTTTTGCTTGGATCTTATCACAAACTTTCTTAGGTGACATGGTTACACTAAGAATATCCAAAATATCCCAAAGAAAAGTAGTGGGTTGTGTACTGAACTACACCTATGGTGAAACTGACACATAGACACGTGTTTGTGTGTATGCCGAGCAAATGAACGAATACCGAACATGAACACAGCGTCCATGCCAAAAAGTTTGAACTAAAAGCTGTTCGAATACCGAGGTTCTACTGTATTTTTACTTTGTTCTAAATCATATTTAAATATATAACATTTTATTAAAAGTAGGCATTGACTGATGTTGGGTCTTGTGTAGTAATGTCATGGTAATGTTATTTTAGCAATATCATTTGCCCTTGTGTGCCACAGCTAAATTTTGTAGCAAAACAAAATCATATACAAAACGTGTACATATTTCCAGTACCATCAGATTATATTTTAATAAAAATATAAAAGCAAAGAATTCCATTAATAATTTTTCCATTCACTTGGTGAATTTGTTGTCTAGGTAATGAATTACTCTTTTGCCAATACTACTTGATTAACAGTTAGTGATTCATACCAGTAACATAACTGGTCAATGAGTGCATATATATAACTTTCCAAGTTATATATATGCTCATATATGGCTTGTAGCCTTATGTTGATTTGTAATTGGCTCTAATCAGTTTTTTAAATGTCTTTTAATCATATTTTAATGAACAGCGGAAGAATCTTAAAAAATTACAAAATTAATTAAAATACTATTATACAAATCTGGGACACTAATAAATCATCCAATATTAATTAACTAAATTTAATCATAAATAAACAATACAAAAATTAACTTGAAATTAAAAATAAAAAAGATGGGCACCGTCTTGAAGGTGATGAGATGGAAGGTGTCTTGGTCGTATGCTCTGCTGCAAACAACTTCCAGGAATGAATATAGTGATGTGCAAGTTAGTACCGCCTCTCCGTTAAACTGGTAACCAGTTTTCCACTGATCAAAAGCGATCTTCCAACCAGTGTGAATATATTATGATCAACCTGTTGGAATTAAAATTAAAACCTTATTAGAACACAGCATATTTGTGTGTAAAGTGCTCAAGCTATAAATATTGTATACCATAAGCACTTAAGTGGTACTGGAAGGAACATTGCCACTAAATATTTACAAAAAGAAATATATAGTAGATAATTTTCATATTTTTCTTATAACCAAACTGATCTTTTTCAAGGATGCTAATTTAACCACTGCACTGAGCCAAACAACAAATGCTGTTTTGAGAGTTGTCCTTTTTTTAATTATGCAATATTTTAATGTTTTTTAATGTTTTCATCACTGTGTTTTGAAATGAAAATAGTTGAGTTTGGAAACATTTTGACATTAACTTTACCTGAACATTTATAAAATAACAAATATATCCTTAACAATTTCACTATGAAGTTTTTGCCAAAAACAGGTGCACAGTCCAGGGGGTTAAGACAGTACTGTACACAGTACACTCGCTCTCCCAAATCCAGACCTTCGTACAACTGATCCCTCTAAAAAAAAACACCAAATCCGACCAACAGATTTCTCCGATTTTGTGTGCGCACACGTGAAATTTTCACCTGGATCCTACCTAAGTGACAACACAGTCATTCTCACATACTCAACTAGGTGAGCACAGTGAAATCACAATCATCAGTTCATCAAAATAATTTCCATCATATTGGATTTTTATTCTTATTTTTGCTAATCTTGCTTTTTATTCAAAATAATGCATTTATATTTTAGTAATATTTAATAATATGTTTGCATTGTACTAAGCATATACTGAAAAATGAGTTTTTATATTTTTTCTGGCATAATCTGGCTTAAATCTAGAATATAATCTTTATTTTTTTTTTTTTGCCAAGTGCCACTGGACAGGTAAATCACTTGTCAATTTTGGTAAAGTCTAAGATATATCACTCCTCACAGTATCCCTTGGATGTCACCCCTCACAGCCTCCCTTGGATGTCACCCCCTCACAGCCTCCCTTGGATGTCACCCCTCACTAACCCCCCTTAGCCAAGGATAGACACACAGATAGCAGTAAAATAAACAAGCCTATCTTGATGGAATACTAACATTTTAAATATACAGCTAATCTAATATATATTTAAGATAACACGCCTCACATACTAGCTCTTTCCAACAAAGTGATAGTTTATATATTGCTATACATGTACTTTCAGTGCAATAATCAATAGCCATGAAATGTCCAATGTTCTCCGAGGACTTAAATTAAAAGAGACGGAAATCACACTAATGTGATTTATCAATGAGAAAATCCATAGGAGCCGTGATGTTCGAATCCTCATCATCTTCTGAAATTGAAGAACTCTGCCAAAAAAATAATAAACTAACACCCATTGTCAACAATGTAGATTATGACAAACATTAAAAAACAGCTCACCTAATTATCACAGCCCTCATTTCTTTCACTGAGTGAGTCGAGTGTGTCTGAACTTGAGGAATGAGTAAGGTCAGAGGTGAGGTCTGTTGGACTCATGTCCTCTGTATCATCAAAGTGCTTTTGACGTTTGCGATCATTCCAGCGTAAGCATTCATCGAGAGAAGCAAACCAGTCAGCAATTTGATCTTCAGCACAGATTGAGGGAACTGGATATATGGAGGTAGTTACACGAAGGCTGTTAAGAGAGAGAGCAATATGTTGTGAGTAGACCATCAAAATAATACCATCACATAATAGTATAAACATTTCAATCTATTATATTTACAATTATCATCGTGACTACCATTTCATAATCTGTTTATCATCCCTATGAGAATCTATTGAACATTCATTATTTAAGAACTTATTAATTGTTGTTCTACTTTCTTAGTAACTTATAATCTTGACTATAGAAAATGATTATAAAAAAGTACCTACAACAAATAGTTACCAAACCAAATGCAATCATCACAAAAACAGGCAAGTTACAGTTAAGCAGGAACACACAACTGTAAATACTGTTTTATGAAGCCCATGGGGTTGGGAAGGCATCTGAGTGGATAGAGGCAGGGGCCCAAGAATTGCAGCTCAATCCCCTCAGTTAGATTAGTATGCAAATACTACAGGTAAATGATCAGGAGTTTTGTGAGTTTTGCACGAAAGTTAAGAAGGTTGCTGGAGGGAGGGTCAAGTTGAATATAATCAGTGATTGAAGATTATGGGACAAAATGAAGTGTTAAGATCATAAGAATTCAAAATAGAATATCTGAGACATAGTTGTTGAAAGTTGTAGAGAAAGTAAAGTACAGTACTGTATATTGTAAATAAAGATTCGACCAAGGCATGTGGAGGGAATTGGTAAAAATTACTTAATGAAAATAGACAAGAGCAGCATAAATGAACATGGACAAATGAGAGGCAAGAAAAAGTTTGGAGGAAGAGAGTGAAGGAATAAGATGGTGAGAGAAGCATTAGCAAGTAGTTGTGCAAAGACTGGTATGTGTGAAGGAGAGTAAACACATGCCATACTCTTACAGAGTTGAGATAAAGTGGGTAAATGGAAGTGGGGAAATGTGCTGAATACACACACATGAAAGTAGGAACAAATATGTTAAATATCAATAACTTGAATAACACTGAGTTCATAGTGCAAAAGAAATGAATGGAGCAAGCAGCAGGAAAAGATTACAATGAAAAATTGTAACAGTCTGTTTCTTTAATGGCAGCTTACCCATGGGGTTATGTGCACCAGCTAATATACAATTTATATTCACTCACGACAGTTTTGCAAACATGGAGAGCATGCTTACATATAGTATTCTTATCCTGACAATAAATTACAATATTTACATTACAAAAGGCTAATCAATATGGTAAGATCAAGATTTTCAAAAAGAAAATGTAATAGGATGTTTGGAAATGATAAAGTACTTTAAATATTTTTTATAGGACCAGCGTGTCAAATCTATTCTGTCTCATGAACTGAACAGTATATATGAAGCATACTTACAGTGTATAAGAATTTAAATTCATTCATAAACCAACAACAAAACGAAAAAGAAAAGCATGCATCCCTGGCTTCCTCATGTAGTGTCACGGTTCACAACGAAATATTTGTCAGTCAGTTATGTAGTTTTTGTCAGTTAAGGTTACAACATAAGCCCAGACCAGTGCTCAGTGCACAGACTTATCAAACCTTGCATATCTGGAAGGCAATCAGAAATTTGAGACCAAAATTAAAAAAAAAAAAAAAAGCATTGAATGTAATTAAATGCCAGTTTTTGGGCGAGACCTGGAGGCTCCCGGAGCTATACCGGGCCGATGTGTATATATGTTAGACTGTGGCAATAGTCAATCGATGGAGTTTTAGGTCTGCTGGGGGACCACGAGCCAGAACCTGGCCCTTCTCAGAGAAGCACGAGGAGCAATGGCCTATAGACACCCCCGTGTAGTTGGAAGTAGTCTTTGTTTGCCATCTACCAGGTCAGACACCCAGAAAGGTAGGAATCCCAAAACAAACTACAGTTCATTAAAAATTGCAAACCGAAAGCGGAACAAGCAGCCAGAACTCCCCAACCAGAACACAAGCAAACAAGCATGATGTCACCACAGCCACCCCACCCTCCACGCCGCTGTCCATGCAGCCTACCCACTCCTCCCCAGGAGGGGGGAGCTGCGCGTTCCTAAAACAGGGAGGTCGATCCTGAAACAACCAAGAGAGAGAAAGGACAAAACAACCCTATCAGAAATCGAAGACAACCTACAAAGAGTCAAGAAGTGAGGAAAGAATTGCCAGGAAACTTCATACTGCCACCGAGACGAAACTTGCAGGTGGGACACCATCAACGAAGCCACCTGATCACCATACAAGTGATGATAAACCCACGTCAAAAAGACCAGGCGTGAAGATCGGAAGAGGAAATTGAACCAGCCACATGCCAGACCGGACCAATCTGCTGAAGGAGGCAGAGCCATGGGAAGACCCCTAGGGTTCGGACACCGAACAAGCGGCGCCTGAAACCAAGGCTGGGCCGGCCACCAAGGGGGCGAACAAGACTACCCTGGGAAGTCTCTGAGCAAGCTAGAACCTGGAGCAACAACTGAACCAGGGGGGGGGGGGGGGAAGAGGTACAGGTAACCCCACCTCGACCAGTCCAGATGAAAGGCAATCGACCCCGACGGCCTCTCATTTGGCGGAAGGGTGCTGCATATACCAGAAGATGCCTCGACCAAGCTGACACAAAGAGTTCCATCTCTGGGTGCCCAAACGTCCAGCAGAGCCAACAGAATGAGTCGGTGTCGACCGTCCATTCCGTGGACAGGGAAATGAACCGGGACAGGCTGTTCACCAGGACTTTGGACACCCTCCCCCTGGATATGAACCGCCAAGAGCCAAACCATGAGAATTCAGCAGACAAGTCACCCGAAGCGACCAGCCCCAAAGAGCCAAGGACCGCATTGAACCCCTCTGTTCAGGCAATGAACCACTGGGGAACAGTCCGAATGGAGCCGAATCGTCATACAGCGAGTGACAAAATCCCTCTGAAGCAAAAACCACACCGCTGCTAACTCCAGCACCGTGCTGTGAGCCCGACAGAAAGACGGATCCCACCGATCCTTCCCAGCCTGGTGAGCATTGGTCACAAAGCCCCAAGTGAGAGACGACACATCTGTGAACACATCGAGTGAGAGCTTGGGTAGGTGCCACAGTATTGAACCAAAAAAAAACCTGAAGAGGAAGCTGGTGATGCAGGAGCCGGTGTAAGGCCCCCAGGGTCCAAACCCAGTGATCGCAAGTGTGTCGGAAGGGATGTTCCCGAAGGAACCAGAACAGCCGGCGAAGCCAGATCCAACCCGACGGGTAGACCAGCACGGCGAAGTTCAAACTGCCACACAGCTGCTCGAACAACCAACAAGTGACTTGGGTGTCCTACAAAAACAGCCAAAGGTGCGAATACAGCTGCAGCAATGGTGCTGGAAGGAGAAACAAGGAAGCGGTCCAAGAGTCCCACACAAGACCCAGCCAAGTTCGAACCTGAGAGGGAACCAAATGGGACTTCTTGCAGTTCACCAAGAACCCGAACTTGCGAGCTGGGAAAGGACCAAATACATGGCGAGCAGACATTCGAACTGGCTGGAAGTCCAGACTAGCCAGAACCCAAACTCCTAACAGGTGCAAATGGGTCACCACGATCTGAATAAGGTGTGTGTGAACACACGAGGTGCCAGATTCAAGCCGAATGGAAAGCTACAAAATTGGCATGCCTGTCGCCCTATGACAAAACCGAGCCAGTCCCTGAACCCCGGATGAATTGGGATGTGTCAATACTCATCCCTAAGGTCCAGGGGCACCATCCAAGTGCCCGGCTCCAAAAGAAGTCGGACCCGAGACAGAGTGGTCATCCAAAAGGAGGGGCAAAAGACCCAGGGGTTCAGATGGGACAAGTCCGGAATGAAACGCAGGTCTGCACAGTCCCGTTTTGGAACCGGAAACAGGCGGGAAACCCACCTGAGAGACGCCGTTATTTTGACCATGCCCAAGCAAACCCACTCACAGATGATTTGACAGCGCAGGGTAAAAGGCCTGCCCTACGAGCACTATTCCCCCCCCCCCTGAAAGAGGATGCCACCGCAGGTTGGAGGAAACGACCCAAAACTGGTAGATGGCAGACAGACTGCTTTTAACCACATGGGGGGTGCCTATAGGCCATTGCTCCTCAATGCCTCTCTGATGGGGGGGGGGGGCCTAGTTCTGGCGCATGGTCCCCGGTAGGCATAGAACTCCATCGATTGACTGTTGCTACAATCTAATATATATACATATCAGCCCAGTATAGCTCCGGGGAGTCGAAGGGGGGCTCTCCATAGAAATTTACAGTATTGATGAATTGCTGAGGGCATTGTACAAGGTTTTACGAACATCATTTAAATCAGGCCAAGTAGAATTGAGTAACTGTGGTAACTTGTAGCAACAATTCCTTATCAATAAAAGGATAATTCAATTTATAATACATACAATATGATATTTACAAGCATCAGTTATCACTTTATAATGCTTCTGGCCTAAGAAATGCAAGATTTGTTTACTGTCATTATTTTGCCAGCAAGCACAAGATCACTCAAGAAAGATTTAAATAACCTTAATTTACAGTATTCTTTAATTACAAGAAATTATTACTGCAAATTAAGCAATTTACAGTATTTTACATTAAAATCTAAAATATCTGAGACAATTTAACTTAAACAGTGAAGTAAACAAAATACTAATGGCTCAACTACACTAAAACGTCTTTTAAAAGAATGATTTCATATTGGGTATGGGAAGAACAAGGCCATAAGTATAAACACAAAGTGTCAGACTATACAAAGACTTCACCACCACCACCACCACCAGGCTACACTTATCTCAGGGAAGCTCCAACATGTTAACCAACACGACTCATTAACAATAAGAAAAAAGGACGTCCAACACGGATACACAATGAAAGCTAATGTTAAGTACAACTTTAATATCTTTTATAGACAAATGCCATTTTTTAATAGCTATGGCAAGCCTTCCCTCACTTCAGATGTTGCCGGTAAAACCAAGATCCCCAGAACTAAAACACAAGGTATTTTCTACATAGATTTCTAATAACCATTACAGTACTGTACTTGTTAAGAAATGTAGCTACTGTATTATAATAATGAATTGAGAAAAGGAAGAATATAGAAAAGAGGGACACCAAAACCCTTCAATGTTTTCTCCCAAGCTACACCAATACTTGTTAAGACAGGATTGGTTCAACAATTAATTACTGCCATTAAGGTGTACATATTAATGTGAGAGAATTTAATATTTCATGACAAATTTTTGCAAGAACTGTATTGAATATGACAAAAATTCAACAGTTGCATATTACTTGTACCACTTTTATAATAAAAGCAGTAAATATTGTATTATAGTAGAATACAATGATTTGCAAAACCAACCACGTCTTAGCAATTATTGAAAATGTAGAAAGTTACATAGCAATCTTGATGGTACCAAGAGGAAAATGTAAAAGCTTTTTCAAAGCCCAGTAATAGATAGCGCATAGACTCATCAAAGACAAGAACTTAGGTGACCCAACAGACACACCTATCTCCAACCAACAGCTCCTGCTGGTGGCGTCCATCAAACGATACCCAACACGTATTCCGAGCATCGCAGTTCAACTTTATCTGTAAACATATTGAATGGCAGTGGCATTCAGAATGAAGGAATAATCCATGTTTCCTGATGCAGACCTTTCAAACCCATTTCTTACCTGATAAGAGGGATACTTAGAGACTTTGATGCTCACTGGATGGGAGGCAAATTCAGAAAGCTTGATATTTCTCTTAAATCCCAATGTTTCAATCCAAGAATCCATGAACTTAAATCCATGAACTAATACGTTCACAGTTGGAGTGTGAGCTCTTCTTTTTTCCAATAACATTTCTTAGTTTCTTCTTTTAAATGGCTATCCAGTAAGTCACATTGGAGTATAAGAAAAATTGTCTATCACAGTCCGCACATGCATAGGCAGCAAGTCATATATCCAAAGGCAACGGAGTGGATACTATATATATCTTTCAGCCAATTCTAAAGATTTAGAAATTTATATTTAGTGTAACTAATAAAATATTAAACAGCTCAGTATGGTAAAAATAGTATTATAAAGGCTATGGTTACTTAAAAGTTTGAACAGTTAAGTAGTGTAGGACCTTAGTGAGTGGGAATACATGCATAGTTAAGCCATAAATATGACAGCTGGAGTACAGAAAAGGTGTGGGAAAGAACAGATTGTGTCGAGCTGTTAAATAGTTACAGCATTTGCACTTGTTTATACATGTAAGTAATATTAAATGGCAAATAAAAAATAAAAATATACTTCGATTATAGGTATATTATGATAAAAGAATATACTGTATGTAAATAGTGTAATGTAAGAATTAACCAGCTGGCCTGAACTATACATGGAAGTGACGCCCAAGATATAGGCTACCTTTTACCATTTGAAGATTCTTTTTTTTTTTTTTATTTACTTTCTACAATCACTCAACCTCCATACTAATGTTTCAAGAAATTTTGTTTGAACATGTAATTTTGGGGGGATTACTTTTTTTGTATTCTCGGATTGTTATGAATACTTCACTTAAATGGTGGCAAACTTGGATGTAAATATTTTTAAAGTGCATCAAGTCCTTCTTTAAAAGGTGTTTTAAATGCTTCGAGATGATTCTGTACAAGCTCAGTACCACAGGGAAAGTATCCACAGGAATGCGTGAAGGTTTTAAGCACCACCACCACAAATACCTGAAGAGTCCACACAGAAGCCTAGAAGAAGATTGTACACTAGATTAACACCACAAAGGGAGTTCCCAGAGGAAATGTCTATGAAAGATTCTATACAGAGCCAACCCCAATATAGGTGTCTCTGGGTAAAATATAATACTGCAGTATCATAACCAATAATATATTTAATATAGTCCCTAAATCTCGCCCCATCTTCAGTTTTGGCCTCATTAAGTCCACTAACTGTCTTGGAACTAAGAGGAGTAGTGATACCTTAGTATTTAAAGTATTTTTTATCTTAGCTTTGTGTATTTAGTAATTTATAGTTACCCTTAAATTATCAGTTTTTCTTTTAATCTTGCTCTGCCTCATTTTTTAAAATGTGTTGATACAGTAATTGGATTCTCTGGACTCCAGATTTGGTATTTGGTAAGGAGAGGCTGGCCACAGTTCCTCGTGTGGTTGGGTTGTTACCAGTCAGTACCCACGTACAAGGTGGAGGGCAACCATGTACAACAGCAGTGGCAGTGACTTTGGAAGAGGAACTCAGTACAGTATGTGCTATTTATATTGTTGATTGGCTTACTAAGAGCATATAAGGCAATTACATCTTCCTACTTGGCCAACTAGCCAGCCCTCTCTAGGCCAGCTTCACTAATAAATATTAACATTTGCCAACTGACCAGCTTGTGATAACAGTACAGTACAGGGTATTTTAAATGTCATTACCTCCACTGCAATAACAAACTGTATGCTCTTCAATTCTCTAACTTTATAGCATATTGTTAAAAGTTGAATTTTCCTATTTTCTTTGTATACAACTCAATTTTAATTCACTGATCAAACAATAAGTGACTTTCTGTTATTTGCTCCTCCATTAAATTGTTCAATATGCTGATGTTTCTCCTGTGGTAAATGTTGTTACTTTAGTTACAACACAAGTCAACCACAAGTAGAGTCAACTTCACTATCACACTTGCTTGCCACAACAACTTGCTTCAATACAAGAGTATAATCACATGTTATTGTATTATGGAGGAAATAGAGTATACTATTCTATAGTGTGCATAAATGTCAAGAAAATATTAATGTATATACTACAAAACTGTCGATGCTAAACACTGTCGGATTAAGATTCTACTGTACTCACACAAATTACATGTAAGATATTTGTAATGTCCTTCAAATACCACCTTCACCACATCAAAGAAAATTAGTGCAGTATCATGCTATCTAATACAATTCAACATTCCAATGCCTTTAAATAATATTTAGAGTGTCATAGCTGTCAGTGTCAGTTGGTCTTCAGTTGGAAGTCAAGTACCTACTGCAGAGGTACAAAGACACAGACAGCAAACAGAAGACTTCAACAGCATAAATGGCTTCTTTACACAAATTAATCTCTTACCTATCCCCGTGAAAAAGCTCTTGCCTTTTCCTTCCATCAAAGGATACCCATGCTGTATTTCTGCTGTCTCTAGATACTGCAATCTAAGCCATGAAATATAAGTTATTATATCTTTACAAGGGCAAGTAATTATATCTTTTGGATTAATGTGCGACTTGCTCTGGGGTCCAAGATATTCGAGACTCGCACACTACCACTTCTTCACAAGGTTCAACAGCATTATCATTACAACTCAAGATGTGACTGATCCTAGCTGCATTTGTGAAAACACCAACTTATGCCACAAGTCGCAATGATCCTTTCACAGACCCAAGTGGAGCTGCACGATTCTCAAGTTGTAATGTACAACCTTCACCTTTAGTAGTGGTGGTGGTACAACGTACATCTTAAACCCCAGTTTTCGTCCTTTATTATTCATAAAAATGGTTTTGTTGTTTCATGCCATTGTCAATTTCAGTTTGATACCTTCTAGAATTTTACTTCAAGTATCAAGATTTTTTTTATTTACGTTCATAAATACAAACTAAAATATTCTTTCATATTTCATCAAACATAATGCCACTCTTATCATTTGAGACTAAAACTATCACAACATTTGTTATATAACTGTCTGGAAGCTTCATCTGGATAGGAGGTAACAATGAATACACATGAGATATAATCAAAAGGTTCCATGATTGAAACATACTTATTGACAGAGTGAGTGAAGAAAGTAGTGTTCCTGCCAAGTAAGAAATGTATGTGCCACACTTTACACTGTTGTAAAGTGATATTTAAACAAAAAGCAAGTTAATGTCCAGAGAGCAAAGTGTGTTATGAAAAGTCTGTTAAAGCACAAGTTTGTTTTTCCTCCAAGAAAAATGTTTGAGATGGAAGTACTGTAATTCCTCTTAGCATTCCTCCTTAGTAAGCACAGTTAATGAAATTAAGGGGATAGCCAAGACAAGATAGAGGCTAAAGGGAGATAGACAAGGGGATAAGGGGATAGACAAGATGCAGAGATGCTCCTTGCAGTAATCAAGCCTTGAATGTACATAAAGAACTTTTTCTAAGCAGTACACTTAGTTGTTCCCTCATGCAAGCTTTTACTCACCCCTGGTTAGAATCTGGCACAGATTCTAACCAAGTCATACTAAACTTCTCAAAATTTTACTGCTGGTCATACTAGAGCTAGGTTCCCTTGCACCAGTATGGTCCAGCATAGACAGAAAAAGTTTGTTTCTATAGCGTGCATAATGATGGCAGGCCTTGGCATCAATTAATAATCACAAACGGGTAGGATCCTGTCTTTGGAAGCAACGTAATAGGATAGCTTAGAAAATATAAATTTATGGTAAGAAAGTGAAGGCCCACAGATGCACAAGTCATGGAAGAGAAACAAGAAAACTTGTCAATATATAGTGTAAAGAGGATGGTAAGAAAATGAATGAATAAACATGTGTGTGCACACAGTGGGAACAAAGTAGACAGCTTTCCATTAGCTTAGAACTTAATAGGAGCAAACTGTTATACAAAACAAAGGGTTGGATAGCAAAGACACTGTCAATACATGATGATGCCAAAGAGAAGTACATACAGCAACAGTGGGAAGCACAACATTTTGAAAGTATTACAATAGAGATTGGCAACCACAGAAGATTTAGGCGAGTACGCCGCATCACCATTTTTTTTTTAAGTAATGTTACTATTGAAAATTTGTTAAAATCAATAGTTGAATGAAATTCATCAAGACAGACATTAGTAGGAATAAGAAGATAAAGAAGCCTCAGAGTAGCCTTCTGATCAAGGAAATTGAGACCATACTCGAGGTGTACATTAACAGTCAACATTCTGACTGGGTACCTTGCATGTGAGCTGCAACTGCACTTTCAATAAAATCCTGAACAATAAAAGTGATCCTTCCTTTATTTTAATAAAGGTGATCAATGTAACAAGAGCCAAGAAAGAGGGAAAGAATATTAGCAAGCTAGAGGGAAGAAGACATATGACAGACAGCACGGCAGAATAGGACAAGTCAAAAATACAATACCATGTCTGTCTGCGAGTTCTAGGAAGACAATATAATATAAATAGGGCAGAGATAAAAGCTGCTCATAAACTGAACAGGATCAAGGCCAGGAGGCAGAAGTTAAACAGAGCCAGTAGCTCTGGCTCTGGCTCTGGTTCTGGTTCAATGTTCTATTTCACTACAATGCTGGTTCAAATCCCTGCACTGCTCCAGCTGAGTTTCTCATTAGTAAAGACTATTGGCACCAAGAGGAATGCAAGTGTAAGAATCAATTTTAGAAAAGTATTATATAAATCCACAGTAAATCCACAGTAACCTATCCATGTAGTTTAATCTGTAAGATTAGTATTTATTTAGAGCAACTATTCCTGTGAGTCATAGCACATTTGATATGTTCCTGGGGGGGCACAAGAGTTTTGTAATAAAAGTTCAAAATATTGCATCTCTAAGGGATTATAAGAGTTGTTTACAAGATAATGGTAGACTGTTTGAGCTCATGTAGCAAAGCTGTACTGCACCAGGCCTTCGTGACATGTGCTAAATACCACAGCAATGACCACTCTCCCACCTGGGACTTAACACTAGAAAAAGATGAAGTAATGTGGATTGAGATGTATTTAATTTAGCAACCCATAATGTTTGTATAAAGCCAACCTTGGAACTTATTGATAACATCTTGTATTTCAGGTTACATTAACCACATATTTAGGTATCATATTCCATCAGAATTTGGTATACAGTATCTAAAGATAATAATGCAGTCAAAAGTAAAGATAATTACTTCTAACCTCCTTGATGATTCACTTTCATCTCAAACAGGCTCTAGAACCTAATGTATTGTTTGTCAGATATAAGTACTGTACAGTACTATACTATCTTTTATTGAAATCAATACTGTACAGTTTGTACTGTTTGTAAAATACTGTACAGTACTTGAATTACCTAATATTCGATTAACTGTGGTTTACTGTAAAATAATAAAGTAAATAGAATGCTATGTTCACATACATTAAGTTCAATAAGGTTTTAATCTCAGGAGAAAAGAGATGGCATTTTCCACAGTCTTTACTAAGCCTGCACAATAAAAACACTATAAAACAAGACACTCTCACAATTTCACTCAGTCTGGTGGATCAAGAGAGCACTTAAATACTTACTCTATTCACATACAATACAGTGGTACAGTATCCCTATGCAGGAGTCAACATTAACTACAATTAATTTAATTAAATAACAATATTTATATTGAAGTCTTTATACAATATTGTTCCTCTTGATCCACCATTGTTTATTGTACTGTACATTCATTAATATTTAGGTCTTACAATCAAATAATTGAAATCATAAATTTATCACATTTTTAAAAAGTATCTAAATTTTCTAAAATTAAAAAATCTGAATTTTCTCAAATTAAAAAAACCAGCGTTGAATGTAATGAAACACCATTTTCTGTGGGGAGCCCCTATGGCTCCCTGGCGCTTATCGGGCTAATGTATGTTATATTAGACCGGGACATTAGCTAAGGAGTTCAGACCTACCAGGGACCAGCGCCAGAACCTGGCCCCTTCAGAGAGGTTTCAGGGAGCAATGGCCCTGGAAAAACCCTTGTGGTTGGGGTTTTCCTTATCTACCGTCGACCGGGGTTAGCACCCAGAAAGGTAGGCATAACAAAACAAACCCCACATGGTAAAAAACAAACAAAAAAACGAACAGAGAGGTAGAAACTCCCTACAATCCCAAAGAAACAAGCAAACAAGCAAACATCACACTTTACTGCTGCGCCAATCATCCGCGCAGCCCTCCCCACCCTGAGAGGGGGAGGGGGGAGCCATGGACCTACCACGCCGGCTGCCTAGCATCATTTCGTTAGCTAAGCTTCAACCAGCGTGAAAAAAACGCCGACCGGTGGGAGGGAGAGTTGCCAGGGAGCCTCTGGGGCTCACCCAGAAAATGGTGTTTCATTACATTCAACGCTGGTTTTCTGTGGGGAGCCCCTATGGCTCCCTGGAGCTTCATACCCAAAGAGAAGGAAAAGAAAGGGCTAACCCAGGAGGCGGCCGCCACAAACTCCGCAACGCGAAGCCGAGATAACAGGCTGCAACCTGCGACCCAAGGCAACAAGAACGCACAGGAGCAGACGACATAAAGAATGGGCGGCCAAGAACCTGTGCGACCCTCAAATCCCTGCGCCCGAAATGAGTCCTAGACGTCATAAACAAAGCAGCAAAAGCTGCAAACGTCCGAACAGCACTGGCGCAAGGACAGACCGCAGGCTGAAAGACTTAAAAACTCTGCGAATGACCTGGGAGACCAGAGCCCTGAAACAGGGAACAAGGGGAACCGGATCAACCCAAAGCGCATCCCCAGACACGGTACGCAGATAACGGCAATAAAGCGCAACCGGACAACACAGGACGCACCCCCGGCCGAACCAATTAAGCATCAATAACCCAAGAAGGGTTATTGATGCTTAATTGATGCCAAGACAAGGGCACAGCAACCAACGATCCCGTACAAGACGGGTTGGAACCCGGAAGATACATTCAATGGTCCACCGAGCCCCGACAGGGGTTTCCAGGGTCCGTAGGGGTAACAACTACGGGAAGCCCGGGCAGGATGTTGCTAACCAGTTAAACACCCAAAAATAACAAGGGGGGGGTAGAGACAACACTGAAAACCCCTGTGGCGTTTACAATCACGGGGGCCTAGCAGAGGGCCACCAAACACTATCTACGGGCAGCCAGTTCTGGCTGAACTGGCTGCCCGTAGGTAGGCTGGCTGCACAACACTTTATGCCCCAATCAGCATGATACCACTCCCTACCCAAGGCCAAACAAGGGCTACGAAACCCCAGCTGGCCCCAAAGGTTGGGTAAATGCCAAGCAGCAAAAACACCCTTAGAAAATGGTTATCCTGAATGCACCAGGAAAGGGAACCCTAACACACAAGGGCAGTACTCACAGGGTGCCTAGGGAAGGAAGCCCCTAAGCGCATGCAGCCCCGGTACTGATGAACACCTGGCCACCATACACAACAATGCAGAGGTCACCACAAAGGCAAAACACTGCCTTGGAAATCGAGGCCAGAGAAGACGTCCGCCCCAGACCACATTAGCTAACGAACTGGAGTGCTGGGTAGCCGGTGCAGAAAGTGGAGAGCTGCGTGGACGAGCAGCGCAGTAGTGGAGTGTGATGTTTGCTTGTTTCCTTGGGACAGGAGGGAGTTCTAACCTCTCTTTTCAGTTTTTTATTGTAATTTTTTTTACTATGTGGGGTTTGTTTTGTTATGCCTACCTTCCGGGGACCCGGCTGGCCGAGCGGACAGCACGCTGGACTTGTGATCCTGTGGTCCTGGGTTCGATCCCAGGCGCTGGTGAGAAACAATGGGCAGAGTTTTTTTTCACCCTATGCCCCTGTTACCTAGCAGTAAAATAGGTACCTGGGTGTTAGTCAACTGTCACGGGCTGTTTCCTGGGGGTGGAGGCCTGGTCGAGGACCGGGCCGCGGGGACACTAAAAGCCCCGAAATCATCAAGATAACCTCAAGATTCCTGGGTGCCTAACCCAGGTCGATGGCAGATAAGAAAAAAAACAACAGGGGGAATTTTCCAGGGCCATTGCTCCATGCAACCTCTCTGAGGGGGTCAGGTTCTGGTTCGTGGTCCCCGGTGGGTTAAACTCCTTAGACTAATACCCCGATCTTATATACTGTATATCACACATCAGCCCAATAGCTCCAGGGAGCCGAAGGGATTCCCCACAAAAAAATACTAATCTCAATTTAATCACATAGTATTCTAACGGCTTTTAATATTTTACCTGGAGAATTTTTTTTTCATTAAATATGAGAACTAAAACTTATTTACCATTTAATTTATATTATTATCAAGAATGTTTCAAACAGTATAAATAAAATTGAATACCTTAAGTTCAACTCCTGCAGGTACTACAATTGGTCTGAATGATAAAGAATGTGGGCAAATAGGTGTGAGCATGATAGCAGGAACAGAAGGGTGGATCATCGAGGCCCCGGCAGCCACGGCGTATGCTGTGCTTCCAGTGGGCGTGGACACTATTAGACCTGTACATAAAAAACTATTTTAGTTTAGGCCTTAGATTGCATTTTAGATCATTTAAGGTCAAATCTATCAAATTATTATAACAACAGAATTATCACACAGTGAAGTACAAATCCTTAATCACTTGAAACTAAGTTTTTAATTTCATCTTTCTAATACAGTATGTCAATGATATACCTTAAATAAATTTGCCATATGATAATTAGAATTTACACATTGCCATGTTTACAATAATAATCAAATGATCTTACCATCTCCTTGTACCGAAGTGATGCGTTTGCCGTCAAGGTAGAGGTCTATATTGGACAGGTATGGTGATGGGCCACGATCTATGACCACCTCGTTGAGCACTAATAAGTTAGTTGGGGGACGACCTGTCTTTCCTGTCTCCTGGTCCTTGCGTAATATTATACAACGTAGACGTGATCGGAGAGTCAGTGCAGCATGGCCTTTAAATGATGTTTGAAAAATATTTTGCGTGAATTTGAAAAAGTTTGAAAAAGATTTTGTGTGTTTACAGGTTACAGTTGTGTGTGTAAACTAATGTCTTTGAAAATGTAATAAGTTATTACGAAACACGTTCAGGCGTCACGTCAGACTAGAAATAAAAATGAATTTTGGAGAATTGATTTTTCAATTACTATCGACAGTGAAAAGAAACATAAGAAATAGAGAAAATTCATGTTATAATTATTAATCTTACCTTTTCAGTCATATTTAACAACATACATTATAAAATAAATTATATATCTATATATTATAAATAAATAATTATATAAATATATATACTGTGTATATATATATATATATATATATATATATAAAAAACATTGAAGAAGTTATGATAACTGAAATGGTGGACAATACTAACACTATCGCGCGCCACCAACTTATAGAGGTCACGCCCCCGGCAAGTGTGCGGGCGAGCGCGTGGCAACACTAAAATGTGTATACTCGTTTCATTTTTCTCACCTTAATTCTTGTGCTACGTTGTTCGTTTTGGTATCATTGTGTTCGCAAATGAATTCCCTGCAGGTGTATATGCATATAATGTACAAAAGCCCAGCATAATTCCCAGCAGGAAAGCCTAAAGTTACCCGTAAACGAGCACAAATTGGCACATGGCAACCTAATGCGTATACTCGTTCAGTTTGATAACAAATTTTCGTGTTACGTCTTTCATTTTGGTATCAAATTGCTCGCAATATAATGGCGCGTATTTTAAAACTAGTCCCATAATAATAGAGCAATAAATATTATTTTAACAAATATTTTAAAATTTTGACCAAAAACGTATATATAATCTTTCAAGTGTTCTGACATTAAGTTTCGTGTTACATCTTTCATTTTGATGTAAGTGTGCGCACTCTAAGGGCGCGTATTTTGAAACTATCCCGAAGTCGATCGGATAAAAAATGAATTTTATGCAAATATTTTTGTATTGGACATGAGCACTGTCCACGGCTAGGACTCGAGAGAAAAAAGTGGACGTGAGCGTTGTCTACACCATCGATACTGCTAAATGTAAGATGACTTTCCAGTAATTTGAATAATGAAGAACTGTATTGTACTTGTATTTCATAAGTACTGTATCATTATTAATACAGAACTGAACAACAATTACTAATGTAGTATCATCATTGCTATTATACAGTACTTTATTACTAACTGTATAATAAACAATACTATATAATGTGTTGGCTGTAATTTGCCTATTAGAGTAATACGTATTGAATTTTATATACTTTAAGTATTAACCAAACCTTAACTCCCAGTTCTATCTCTTATTTAATTATAGCCATCATTAAGTACAATATTATAGATCATCAACCACACTCTACAGCTTATTAGTTGAGTTATACTTGTATCTTCTGGAAATACTTTGCATAATGACTTCACTAAAATACAATAATGTTAACCTTATGTACATACAGGATTTTGTGAATAATACAGTACTGTAGATGAATTGATACCTACCTTCTAAAACGTGTGTCACCTGATCTTGAAAGTTGTCAAATTTGAAAGGTGTGAGAAAACCTAGAGAGCCAAGATGGAAGGCCATAACTGGTGGTACACTTTGCTGCAAAGGAAAGACAACACGCAGTGTTAATATTAGTCATTTATTTGTTACAAGAGTGAGCTGTTAGCCATGCCCTGGGTAGAGTGGTCCTTCAGCACCCATTCAAGAATATGTGGGCAGAAATATCTAGTGCAGCTAAGTGTAGTAATATTGCAATTTAAAAAACTTCAGTTTTAGTAAAATAACTGAAAATATAACAAGAAATGTAGAGGTAAAGCTGTCAGTAGTTCAAGACTGCTTTCTCGTAAGCAAGAAAGCTTACTTGCTTACGAGCAAGTAAGCTCGTAAGCTTCTCGTTTCTGCTTTTCTGCTTTGCGTAAGCCAGTGAAAAGAATATATTAGACTCGGTGCTAGTAAGAAAGAGGTTATTTAGCTGAAGAGGTCAACTACCATATCCTAGCATGGAGACTTCACCTTCAAAACCCAGCATTGATTGTAATGAAATTTAATTTTCTGGGCGAGCCCTGTCGTCTCCCTGAAACTATGTGAACTGATATGCGCTGTATTAGTTTGGGGTCATCGGTCACAGGAGTCCTTATGCCTACCGGGAACCACGAGCCAGAACCTAGTTTCCCTCAGAGAGGTGCAGGGAGTAATGGCCTATGAGCACTTTACATTTAAAGTTCAGTGGAACTTTGGTTGACACATGGCTCTCATTAAGAATTTTTTGGTTTATGAGCTCAATTTCTTCATAAAATTTGACTCGATATACGAGCTTTGCCTCGCTTGATGAATTTATTGATAAACGCATGGGTCAACCAAGCGTGTGGTTTCTGGTGGCACAGGTGAGGCGCGCTTCAGTTTACCAGTATCTCCTGCCTAGGGACAATCGTACTTGAATTCTTTGTGAAGATTTTAATTGTTTTTGTGCTTTTTTGGTTTCTGAACATAAAAGTAATTATTATATACCATGCCATGGGTCCCAAGAAAGTCAGTGGTAAAGTTCAACCTAAGAAAAGAGTTGTGAGTAGAGGCAGTAGAGGATGTCCCTTCCTCACTAGAAGGGACATCTAAGAAAATGTGTGAAGTATGGGAAGAACTGCAAAGTTTTCCTGAAAAGACTCACCCAGATAAAGCTGTAGCAAGTCGTTGCATTGACCTTTTTAATGACAATGTGATGTCTTACTACAGACAAGTGTTAAAATGTAGGAGGAAAAAACAAGTGTCTTTAGACAGATTCTTAGTAAGACAAGCAGGCAGTGAGCCACAACCAGGTCCTAGTGGTATACCTGCAAAACGTAGGAGAGAGAGTACTCCAGAAAAGTCATCACTGCCTGATGTTATAATGGAAGGGGACTTCCCTTCCAAACACTAACACCTCTCCTCCTCCCCCCTCCTCACTGTCTTCCATATGCCAACAAGAGTCCTCATTAAAGGTAAGATACACTTGTACAAACTGTAGTACAAAATGTAAGTAGTATTATGCATAAAATGTATTTTTACGTTAATATTTTTGGGGGTGCAAAACAGATTAATTCAATTTACACTATTTCTTATGGGGAAATTCGTTTCGCTTTACAAATTTTTGGTTTACGAACCATCTCTATGAACGGATTAAATTACTAAATGAATTGTGAGGTTCAGTCCCTGAGCCCATTATGTGCCTCTGTAATCCTTTCCACGACCGCCCAACAAGATGGGTATGGGGTGCATAATAAATGAACTAAATTAACAAAGTTAACTAAAACAAAAGTTGCCAACTAATCGAGTAAACCACAACAATATACAGAGGAAACACTATATTATATTTATATCATCCAAGACAGTAAGTAAATGTTAAGAAAAACATGAGTTTGTGGAGTGGGTGTGAGAGGTCCTTCAGGGAACACCCACTGCTGGTGACGTCAGTCTTGACTTACCTGGAAGAGTGAGGAGGCGTACAGGAGCGTTCCGTCGCCACCCAAGCAGATGATGAAGTCAATTTTATCAGTGAGATCATCCTGTCCTTCCCTGAAGCTCATGAGCTTGTCTTTAAGCGAGGGGAAACCAGAGTGACTTGTGACCAAACTGTCTTCCAGGACCGATGCTTCCACGAACACCAGCATTCTCTTCTCCTGCAAGTACCATGCCAACCACACAATCTACTTAGACACTTAACATTATATACAGTTAATACATCATAAACATTGCTATGGAATGATTCATGCTGATATCTATAACACTCGAGTATACAAGAAGGAAAATCAATGTGACATATTGAAGGAGTGTGTGGTAATGAAGGTACAAGCTGCTTGTTTACTTACAATGGTGAGCCACTTGACCAGTTGGATGAAGGGCTGGATGACCTGGGCGTCTCTGACTTTCTTGATGACCAACACGGAGAGTGGAGGCTTGTACCAGGTGAGTCGCTGGCTGGCCGGGTCCTGAATGGTCCTGCAACACACACAACACACCATTAGCCATCACCCCGGTTCACAACAACAAAACTTCCTTGTTTTCCAAAAAGTTGAATATTGTGCAAAAATAATAATATTAAATAATGCCCCTTAAAACCTACTAAGATAGATATGCATTTTATATTTAGTATAAAAAATAGGCATTTTATATGTCCATATTTTATATTTACATTTTTAGCGACAAGTTGTGTTATTTTTTATGGAGGTAACCAATGTCCGGTTAATAAGTAGTCAGTAGTGGTGCAGATTGTCTCCACCTGACCAGTACATCACAAAATCAGTAGACCTGTATGTTCTGTCAAGCCTTACAGCCCCGCTCCTGTGCCAGGTAAGTCCACTACGGACTCACCATAGCCCCGCTCCTGTGCCAGGTAAGTCCACTACGGGCTCACCACAGCCCCGCTCCTGTGCCAGGTAAGTCCACTACGGACTCACCATAGCCCCGCTCCTGTGCCAGGTAAGTCCACTACGGGCTCACCACAGCCCCGCTCCTGTGCCAGGTAAGTCCACTACGGACTCACCATAGCCCCGCTCCTGTGCCAGGTAAGTCCACTACGGGCTCACCACAGCCCCGCTCCTGTGCCAGGTAAGTCCACTACGGACTCACCATAGCCCCGCTCCTGTGCCAGGTAAGTCCACTACGGGCTCACCACAGCCCCGCTCCTGTGCCAGGTAAGTCCACTACGGACTCACCATAGCCCCGCTCCTGTGCCAGGTAAGTCCACTACGGGCTCACCACAGCCCCGCTCCTGTGCCAGGTAAGTCCACTACGGACTCACCATAGCCCCGCTCCTGTGCCAGGTAAGTCCACTACGGGCTCACCACAGCCCCGCTCCTGTGCCAGGTAAGTCCACTACGGACTCACCATAGCCCCGCTCCTGTGCCAGGTAAGTCCACTACGGGCTCACCACAGCCCCGCTCCTGTGCCAGGTAAGTCCACTACGGACTCACCATAGCCCCGCTCCTGTGCCAGGTAAGTCCACTACGGGCTCACCACAGCCCCGCTCCTGTGCCAGGTAAGTCCACTACGGACTCACCATAGCCCCGCTCCTGTGCCAGGTAAGTCCACTACGGACTCACCACAGCCCCGCTCCTGTGCCAGGTAAGTCCACTACGGGCTCACCATAGCCCCGCTCCTGTGCCAGGTAAGTCCACTACGGACTCACCACAGCCCGTGCTACTTGCAACTTTTGTTCCCAGTAGCTTAATCTAAAAACAACAACAGTGGAAACTGCACATGCCACATTGGCCCATGCGACGCAGCTACACTCATATCTGATCTACGCTTGAAACAACCTTAAGAACATAAAAATCAAGGAAGCTGCAGAAGGCCTATTGGCCCATACATGGCAGCTCGTATTTATATCCGCCCAAACTCATTCATACAAGTCTAACCTAAGCTTGAAACAATCAAGGGATCCTACGTTTATTATGTAACCTGGTAATTGGATCCACAAAACGACAACCATGTTAATGAACTAATCATCCCACTTCACATACAGCACAGCAACTGCCAACGTCTTCCAGATATCTATAACAATGTATCTGCCCGAAACGCTGCGCGTACTAGTGGCTTTACAAGAGTGCAATTACTGTACTATGCTATGTATTCTCACAAACCCAATGTACCTTCTTGTATATAAATAAATAAATAAATATCCAACCCACTGTTTTCCCAAAGTCCTTAGCTAATAGGAAAATAGTTGAGGAGGGTGTGTTAGAGGCAGACCAGGACACTTATAGCAGCACTAGTGTGGAGTGTATGGTGTATGGTGAGCCAGCAGTGTAGTCCCACATATAGTCTTCACCCGTGACGCTCGCCCGGGAGTCTTGTGCTTGCCTACACACCAACCAGCACGGGCCAGATGACACAAAAGTACAGTATTCCCATCGGTATTGACACGAGGCGCGCACGTGGCGGTGAGCTGGGCTACACAGGCAACACCCCCCCCCCCCCCTCGGCTACGTCCCTGTGGCTCATTTGGGCACTCAGTTTCCATCTGTGTTCCCTTGTTCGCGTACCACCCGTGCTAAACGGTTTATCCTTATCTACTTGTCAATTCCTCTAAGAATTTTGTAGGTAGTGATGATGTATTTCCCCTTACTCTTCTGTCTTCCAGTGCCACGAGGTGCATTTTTCGCAGCCTTTCCTCGTATCTCATGTCTCCTAGTTCTGGGACTAGTCTAGTTGCTAGTCTGGGACTATTCCCAGCTTCGTCTTATGCTTGACAAGGTACGGGCTCCATGCTGGGGCCACATACTCCAGGATTGGTCTTACATATGTGGTATACAAGGTTCTGATTGATTCCTTACACAAGTTCCTGAAGGCAGTTCTGATGTTAGCCAGCCTCGCATATGCCGCAGATGTTATTCTTTTTATGTGGGCTTCAGGAGACAGGTTTGGCGTGATATGAACTCCTAGATCTTTATCTCTGTCCGTTTCATGAAGTATTTCTTCTCCCATTCGGTATCTTGTGTCTGGTCTCCTGCTTCCACCGCCTAGTTTCATTACCTTACACTTACTCGGGTTGAAGTTTAGTGGCCATTTGTTAGACCATTCATTCAGTTTGTCTAGGTCATCTTGTAGCCTCATACTATTTTTCTCTGTCTTAATCCTCCTCTTAATTTTTGCATCATCAGCAAAAGTGTTTGCTGATGATGCAAGGAATGATTCTATACCCTCTGGGAGATCATTTACATATCAGAAACAGTATAGATCCAAGGACTGAACCCTGCGGGACTCCACTGGTGACGCCTCACCAATCTGAGACCTCACCCTTCACAGTGACTGTCTTCTGTTGTTTCGGTACTCCCCTATCAAGTGGAGAACCTTCCCTTTAATTCCCGCCTGCATCTCCAGCTTGTGCACTAGTCTCTTATGTAGTACTGTGTCAAAAGCTTTCTGGAAATCCAAAAATATGCAGTCTGCCCAGCCCTCTCTATCTTGCCTGATTTGTGTTGCCTGGTCACAGAATTCAATTAATCCTGTGAGACATGATTTGCCATCCCTGAACCCATGTTGATGTGTTATAAAGTTCGTTCGCTCCAGACGTTCACACAGCTTCACCCCGGACACCAGAGGTCACACAGCTTCACCCCGGACACACCAGAGGACAGACAGCTTCACCCCGGACACCAGAGGACAGACAGCTTTACAACGTTACCGAAGCTATTTAATTTCTTGAGTGAATTTCAACTGGTTGTCTATTATGACTCCTAGGTATTGAAAAGAGGTAACCCACTCAATTTCTGGCCCTTGTTTGCTTACATAAAAGGTGTTGGAACCACAGAAGGCCTTACCTCCCTCCTGGATCAAATCAATGACAAACTTGGAATCCTTATTTTTCTGAGCCTAGAAAAAACCTTCGAGCTAGTCAATGCTCCAGCTACACTGTGCTTCCTGGTAGATACTAAAATCACAAAAGACACGCTCTTGCCTTTGCCAAAAGAAGTTTGCTTAACCGAGAAGCTAAAGTCAAATTCCAAGGAAAAACATCCTCCTCAAAGAGGTTGGAAAATGGGACTCAGCAGGGAGGAATACTAAGCCCCTTCCTCTTCAACTGTCTCATGGAACAATTCATGAACCATAGACCTAAGACAGTGTGTATCGAGAGAGAGAGGGGGGGGGGGAGGGTGGACCTCATTCCAGTTCATAACATGACCTCATTCCTTATATATCCTGTTGTACGAGTCTCTGGGAGCAGGTTTCAGATGAGTTGTGGTAGGATAACAGCTCTTGCATGCAGCTTCACCAGGCACTTCACTCGACAACCCTCATGAACACTTGTCTCAGTGTAGAGGCAGCGACCGTAAATGTACTTCTCTAACAAGTTTACATGACTGAAGTTGCCAGCGCTGAGAATTAACTCGTCACCATTGTATGTAAACTTCTGGAGACGATGATAAAAGGGAGAGAAGAAACATGTTGGTTTTCCCAGTAGTTGTAGTCAGATATAGATATTTATTTATACAGAGATAAAATCATTACCAGCTGCCGTATCTAATCGGAGTGTGAACCCAACCTTCACACTAAACACTCCCTAATATTTACATACACTGCTTGAATGCTTCCTATCTCATATCTACTACTATCATATCTACCATCACACGTCTCGCATCTAATTAAATGCATGAGCAACTTGCTCTCTGCTAGAAGAACCATCACTATCACCACTACACCCACAGCCATCACTATCACCACTACACCCACAACCATCACTATCACCACTACACCCACAACCATCACTATCACCACTACACCCACAATCATCACCAAAAGTCTGATTAGTAAGAATTTAAAAAAAAAATGCATGTTCGTAATAAGGCAAATAAGAACATAAGAACAAAGGTAACTGCAGAAGGCCTATTGGCCCATACGAGGCAGCTCCTATCTATAACCACCCAATCCCACTCATATACATAAGAACATAAGAACATAAGAACAAAGGTAACTGCAGAAGGCCTATTGGCCCATACGAGGCAGCTCCTATTCTATAACCACCCAATCCCACTCATATACTTGTCCAACCCGTGCTTGAAACAATCGAGGGACCCCACCTCCACAATGTTACGCGGCAATTGGTTCCACAAATCAACAACCCTGTTACTGAACCAGTATTTACCCAAGTCTTTCCTAAATCTAAACTTATCCAATTTATATCCATTGTTTCGTGTTCTGTCCTGTGTTGATACTTTTAATACCCTATTAATATCCCCCCGGTTATGTCCATTCATCCACTTGTAAACCTCTATCATGTCACCCCTAACTCTTCGCCTTTCCAGTGAATGCAACTTAAGCTTTGTTAATCTTTCTTCATATGAAAGATTTCTAATTTGGGGAATTAACTTAGTCATCCTACGCTGGACACGTTCAAGTGAATTTATATCCATTCTATAATATGGCGACCAAAACTGAACTGCATAATCTAAATGGGGCCTAACTAGAGCAAGATATAGCTTGAGAACCACACCAGGTGT